GAGTGGCTCCAGCAGATCCCGGGAATAACATCGGAGATCTCTGTCCAGAAGAGCGCAGTCCTGGGAACAGCTAAGATACTGCGCAGGACCCTCAAGCTCCCAGGCCTCTGGTAGAGGACAGTTTTATCCCACTAACAACATAAATAACAGCAACATAAACAACAGCAACATAAACAACAGCAACATAAACCCCCCAAAACATAAAACTTCTAAATTTTAGAGGACAATATACAGAACAATTAAAGACATATCCATGTTTTTGCGAAAACATGGCTAATATTTAATTTCTTTCTATGCCAGCCCTCAGTGTCTGCTAGCTCAGCTGATACCATCTCATTGGTATATCTCATAAAGGAAGCCCTGTAATTGCTTTAGCCTGCTACAGATGCAGTTGCTGCTGCAAGCCACTTTGCGACCCACCTCCAACACAGTCTTTAACTTTTGAGGCAGTGATGTAACCTGGTCACTGTTTTATATGTAAATTTGTGTCATTTCGATTACATAAAATAAACAAAATTTTCCAAGTGTGGCAGTGTTTACATTCTTCAACAAACACACATATAGAAATGTCTTCTTGGCATCTCTTCAAATCCACCAGATTCTTCATAAAAATATGTTTTTTCTATCCAGTCAGATTTCAGAGGACACTGAGCAGAAGCATGTTCTTACTAACTGACCTGTTGAATCTCATCTCACGCCTCTCCTCCCTGACTGTTTGGCTTAGGCTGTAGCGTCGCTGCGGGGCAGGAGAGTCCTCCCCTGCTGCCTCCTCCTCCTCGTCTTCCACCGTGTCTCCCAGTTTCTCCTCAAAGGCCTGGATCTTCACCTGCAGCTGCTGCTCTGGTGCTCCTCCTCCTCCTCCTCCATCTGATTGGAATGCCTCATCCACCCTGAATGCACACAGAGCCAGAGTTCGCATTATAGTTGCTATACGTGTGACCTGAAGCTGACAGTGTCACAAGTTTCTCCCCCTCTGGCAAACTTTGGCTTAATTTGGTGCTTTCTCACATTGATTGGTTCAAACTGTGTCAAACCCTCTTTCGCTCTTTTCTGTTTTTCGTTCCTTACTTGTGTTTTTATTCAAATATCCTTCAAAACTTCTACTTGTTTGAAAGAGGGCTTCCTTTCCACTCCCCCCTGCTCTTTCACTAATAAACTGCCTTTGCCTCCCTCCAATCCTTTTTCCCTTCTATCTCTCTTCCAAAAGACCCCAAGCAAAGTCTTTTCGAAGCCCCAAACTCTGCACACAATGTTCTTATTTAGAAGAGAGCTGTGTGTGTGTCATTTCCACAGCGCAGCCAGATGACTCTTGGCCAGCGTATGCACGGTATGGCGTGTTCACTTCTTGTGCACGCAGATTGTTTTGAAGGCAAAACCAAAAAGAAAAATATTTTAATGACCTTAAATGACAGTGCGCTGTAACAGACCCAGATTTGATTTTAGTGTCCTGATCAAAGTAACACAGCTCAATGTGTCGAGTCAGTATGTGTATTCTCTTTATGACTCAGTCTCTGACACAAAAAAAATCCCCCACTCGCCCTGTGGGGCGGCCTTCATCCTTCAAGCTCGGGTGCTCTATCAAAGGCCTGGGAGCTTGAGGGCTCTGTGCAGTATCTTAGCTGTTCCTAGAACTGCGCTCTTCTGGACAGAGATGTCAGATGTTGTTCCTGTGATCTGCTGGAGCCACTCGCCCAGTTTGGGGGTCACTGTCCCGAGACCACTTCTGCCTTTACCCTCCACATCTTCTCGAGTTGTTCTCGCAGCTCTTGGTATTTCTTGAGCTTCTCATGGTCCTTCTTCCTAACGTTGTTATCACTTGGTATAGCTACATCCATCACTACGGTCGCCTTTCTCTACTTGACCATCACTAGTTTGTCCGCCTGTATCTGGAAGTCCCACAGGATCTTAGCTCAGTCATTCTCGACCACCTTGGGGGTCCTCTGCTATCAACAAAATAGCAGAATATGTATTTTCAGACCGTTCTTTGTAAACCCTGGATATGATTGTGTGGGAAAGTCCCATCAGATCAGCAGTTTCTGAAATCCTCAGACCAAACCATCTGGCACCAAAATTCGATGCCACATTCAAAGTCATATAAATTCTTCCTCATTCTGATGCTCGGTTTGAACTTCAGCAGGCCGTATTGACCATATCCACATGCCAAAATGCACTGAGCTGCTGCCATGTGGGTGG